CTATCTATCAGAATGAGAGAGAGAGAGTCAGCACAAGCAGAGGGAGAAGCAGGCTCCCTCTTGAGCAAGGAACCAACTTGGGACTCGATCCCAGGACCTTAGGATCCTGACCTGAGCCGAAGGCAGCTGCCCAACCAGCTGAGCCACCCAGGCATCCCAATACTCTGATTTTTAGAAAATTTTTATTTATTTGAGATAGAGAGCGAGGGGGCAAGATAGCATGAAAGGGGAGGCAGAGGGAGAGGGAGAAGTAGGCTCCCCGCTGAGTAGGGAGTCTGATGTGGGGTGATCTCAGGACCCTGGGAATCTGACCTGAGCCAAATGCAGATGCTTAATGACTGAGACACCCAGGTGCCCCTAAATACTCTGATTTTTTTTAAATATCTCCTCTTCTTATACTTTTTGCATCCATATGGATTTGAATTAATTTCTTCACTAACTGAGCAAATATAACACCATGTATCTGGTCACTTATTCATTCATCTCTTCATCTTAGGAAGTGGCAGTTCCATCCTTCCAGGCCTGTGCTCCATCCTCTTTTCTGGCTAAAACCCCTGGAATATGCTCCAATCCTCTTCTATCTGACATCTAATCCAATCCATTCATTCTGTAAATATTTTTTTTTTGTGCTTCTAGGCCCTTGGATATATCAAGGAATATACCTAGCAGGAAATGCTGTTGATTCCATCTCCAAAATATATAGGTAATCAGGTTACTTTCCACCATCTTCACTTCTACCTGCTGTTCTGGTCTAACTGGTCTCCCTGCTTCTGCTCTTGCCTTTTCCACTACCTGCCAAGTCTATCCTACACATAGAAGCCAGGATAATCTCAAAATTTAAGTCAGAGTATGTTATGACTCTGCTCAAATCCTCCAGTAGTTTTCTAAGTCACTCAGGGTAAAAATCCAACCTTTACAATAGCCTTCAGGCTTATATGATCTGTTACTAGCTGCACCTGCCCCACCCTCTTACTGGAACACCTTATTGCACAACCCTGGAACTGTGTATTGCATAGGCTACGTGACTGAATGTGATGGTCCTGTGCCCAGTCCTATGACCTTATCTCTTCCTACATTGCCTTTGCTTACTCTGTTCTAGCCAGAATGGCCAATTACCTTTTTCTCAAACACTGCAAGCATGCTCTTGTATAAAGACATTTACACGTGCTCTGCCCTCTGCATGGAGTGCGCTTGCCTCAGATTACCAGTGGCTCACTCCCTTACCTCTTTAACTTTTTTGCTTAAATGTCCTTTATCAGCAAGGCCTTTCTTGTTTACCTTCCCTCACTTCCAGAATTCCTTATGCCCCTTTCCTTTGCTTTATTTATTCATTAATTCATTTTTAAAATTTTACATTTTAGGTAGTTAACTGTGCAATACTGGTTTCTGGCGAAGAATTGAGTGATTCATCACTTACATACAACACCCATTGCTCATCATAACAATGCCCTTCTCAATATCCATCACCCATCTAGCTCATCCCCCACCCACATCCCTCCAACAATCCTCAGGTTGTTCTCTACCTTCACGAGTCTCAGGGCACCGAGTGGCTCAGTATATTGAGCATCTGACTCTTGGTTTCAGCTTGGATAATGGTCTTGGGGTGGTGTGCCCCATGTGGGGCTCTGCATTCAGGAGAGTCTGCTTGAGATTCTTTCCCCTCCCTCTTCCATCCCCTTTGTTCCTCTCCCTGCTTGTACTCTCTCTCTCTAAAAATAAATAAATAAATAAATAAATAAATAAATAAATAAGATCTTTAAAAAAAGTCTTTTATGGCTTGTTTTCCTCTCTCTCTCTCTCTCTTTTTTTTTTTTTCTTTTCCCCCTTCCCAGATGTTCACCTGTTTTCTTTCTTCAATTTCACATATGAGGGATGCCTGGATGGCTCAGTCAGTTAGAGTCTGCTTTTGGCTCAGGTCATGATCTCAGGGTCCTGGGATTGAGCCCCATATCGGGCTCCCTGCTCAGTTGTTAGTCTGCTTCTCCTTCTGTCCTTTCCCACCTGCTTGTGTTCTCTCTCTCTCAAATAAATAAATACAATCTTTTAAAAATTTCACATATGAGTGAGATCATACAGTGTTTGTCTTTCTCTGACTGACTTATTTCACTTAGCATAATACACTCTTGGTCCATCCATGTCATTGCAAATGGCAAGATTTCAGTTTTTTGATGGCTGAGTAATATTTCATTGTATAGATTACCACATCTTCTTTGTTCATTCATAAGTTGATAGACATTTGGGCTCTCTTCAGAGTTAGGCTATTGTTGATAATGCTGCTGTAAATATCGGGGTACATGTACCCCTTCAAGTCACTATGTTTGTATCCTTTGGATAAATACCTAGTAGTGCAATTGCTGGATTGTAAGGTAGTTCTAATTTTAATTTTTTGAGGAACCTCCGTATGGTTCTCGAGTTTTGACACATGTGAGGTGGTATCTCATCGTGGTTTTGATTTGTATTTCCCTGATGATGAATGATGTTGAGCTTCTTTTCACGTGTCTGTTAGCCATCTGGATGTCTTCTTTGGAAACATATCTTTGCTTAATTTTAATCTCCGTAATCTCTGTCATACTATTATCTTATTTTTTGTTGTTGCATATATCTCTTCACTAGAGTGTAAGTTCCCTGAGAGTAGGGATTTTTGTCCTAAGCATGTGGAATAAAGCTTGACATGGTAGACACTGATTGTGCATCCATTCATCCCTTCAGCAGATACCTACTATCTGCTAGGAAAAGACCATAAAGACTTAAAAGATGGCATGCCTACCCAAAAGTAGCTGACAGGGAAGTGGGACAAGTTCATTCAAATTTGGGTTCCCATGATTTATGAGTGAATAGTGGTGACAGAAGTCATCAAAATTAATAGGGTGGTATACATAAGAAATTAAAATATCCCAGGGAGGAGGCATGTATTATAATTTAGCTACACCAATAGTCATCTAGCCAGAACCAAATGGGATGAAGGGCTGATTTCACTTAATTTACTTATGGGCATATTCTAGGTAGCTTAGAACTGGTGGACTGGTGTGGTATTTATCTGTGGGGCTGATAGTACTAGGACATAAGCTGGGTTCCACAGATAGGTACACTGGATATATGGAAGGTGCTTTGGGGCTAGGACTTACGTTGGGACCAGCCTATTGTTTATTTTTTCCACCTACAGAGCTTGACAAATAAACAGGTGCAGATCTGGCATTCTTGTTTTTTTTTTTAATATAATATATATTATATATTATTTATTTATCAACTATTTATTAATAATTATTTTATATTATTTATACATATATTATATATAAATAAATGAATAAATAAATAAATAAAAATACATTATATATAAAAACCAACAAGAATGCCAAATCTGCACCTGTTTGTCAAGCTCTGTATATATATACTATATATATAATATAATATATATGCATATATTATATATACTATATATAATATAATATATATGCATATATTATATATATATTTTTTGGTCAGTCCTATACTTTAAAAAATTAAAATATAATATAATAAATATAATATGTTATATATTAAAATAAATATAATAATATAATAAAAAATTAAAACATAATTTACATACCATAAAACATACTCTTTTAAAAGTGTGAGTTCAGTGGTTTTTAGTATATTTACAAACTTGTACAGGCATCACTACCATCTACTTCCAGAACAGTTTCATCACGTAGAAAGTAGCCCTGTACCACTAGCAGCTACTTCCCACACTCCCCTCTCACAGTAGTTGCCTGCAGGCAACCACTAATCTATCTTCTATCTCTATTGATTTGCCTATTTTTAACATTTAATATAAACAGAATAATATTATATGTGGCCTTTTTGTCTGGCTTCTTTCACTTAGTATGATGTTTGCAAGGTTCATCAGTGTTTTGGCATGTATCCATACTTCATTCCTTTTTATGGCTGAACAATATTCCATTGTACGGATAGGCCACATTTTGTGTATCCATTTATCAGTAGATGGACATTTGGATTGTCTTCACTTTTGGACTATTATGGGTCATTTTTCTATAAACAATCTTGTACAAGTTCTTATGTGGACATATGTTTTCATTTCTCTTGGGTATATCCCATGGTGTAGAATTTCTGGGTTATATGGTGACTATGTTTCACATTTTGGGGACTGCCAAATTATTCTCCATAGCAGCTGCACCATTTTACATTCCCACCAGCAATATATGAGGTTTCTCAATTTTTCCATGCCCTTATCAACATTTGTTATTGTCTTTTTTTTATTATAGTCATCCAAGTGGGTGTGAAGTGGTAGCTTGCAGTTTTGATTTGCTTTTCTTTAATGACTAATGATGTTGAACATCTTTTCATGTGCTTATTAGTCATTTTTATATCTTCTTTTGAGAAATATCTATTTAGATCTTTTGCCCATTTTAAAAGTTGGGTTATTTGCTTTTTATTGTTGAGTTACAAGGGTTTTTTTTTTTTATATGTTTGGATAGTAGACCCTTATCAGATACATAATTTACAAACATTTTTCCTGTTCTGTGGGTTGTCTTTTCATTTTCTTGATAGTGTCTTTTTAACCACAAAAGTTAGAATTTTACAGCTGATAAAGAACTAACAGATCATTAATCTAATTCACCTTTTTCATTTTATTGATAAGGACACTAAAGCACAATGAATTGAATTAATCTCTTTAGTGGCAGAGTTAGGAACACCTGCTTTGTGTTTCAAATAAATTGCACCAAGTAAGTTACAAAGTAACTAGAGATAAAAACAAGTCCATCACAAATAAATCTGTTAGAAGACAAAGTAAAATATTTGATAATCACCTGTGATGCAGTGTGGTACGGACTATAAAAGCAAAAGGAACTCAGAAAAACAACTGGAGAGATAAGTGTACAGTTGCCTAGCAACAAGTAGATAGAGGGCAGTGACTGACAAAACTATGAGGGAATATAACTATGGGATTGAAATACATAAGTCAAAGTATTAAATACCTTCACGTCAGGTCTCACACTCACCTTTAGTATCATGTTCAGTTTTCATCAACTTATGCAGTGGCACCATCCCTTTTGCTTAAAGATAAAATTAAGAGTCAAAGTTATATACATTTCTGAAGTTTTGAAAAGTAGAATAGGAGCAAATTACAGTTTTCTTTTAATTTTTCCTCCTATGAGTGGGAAAGTGAAAATATCAGTTATATGTGACATATCTCTTGGTTTTTCTTAGAGTTTTTATTTAAATTCCAGTTAATTAATTTCAATGTAATATTAGTTTCAGGTGTACAATATAGTGATTCAACACCTCCATACAACACTGGCACTCATCACGATAAGTGCACTTTTTCATCCTCAGTTAGAGATATACCTCTTAATTCATTTTGCCTCTTTTGGTGCCTTAATGTATCAAACTCCAAAAAAATTGTCTTTGAAACAACAAATAGAGTCAACACTGAAGGAAAGACTATTCGCTTATCATCTTTTAGGATGAAAAGAAGTGAAGCAATTTTGAAAAACTGTTGACTCAAGGAGGACAACTTGCTACCCATTTCATTTTCATTAGTGATTTGGTTATAACCTGTTGACTAATTACGTGCCTTTTTGTGGTATAGTTCTTTCTTTCTAGTGAATTCTCCTGTAAAGTGTGTACATATAATATTTGTTATAATATTGACTACGAAATCTATCTGTCTTGCCCTACTCTATCCTATGGCCAGAACAACAATGAAAAAAGTACTTTAATAATACAGATTCAATTATTTTCTTTTCTTCCTCTCAAAATGTTGGGTAGTTTGGTTTTCTAGGCACAAGGCGATTAACTCAGGAGAAAAGTGCTGTGTATAATAGTTCAATGCTCTAAGTTTGGTTTAGTTTGGCCAGATAAAGCCAATAATGTTATTTTGATATCAAGAAAGGTCAGTTGCAGGTTATGGAAACATGGAAAGGTTCTGGTAGTACCTTTAGGCTGTAAAGCCTATACAGGGTAATATATCATGCAGAAAGCAGGACACACAAAATGGCTACATTTTCTTTATGCAAAGGGAGAGATTAATACTAACATGAAACATAATTTATAGGATTAAGAAGAACTTATCAAACACCTTTATTCCTCCCTTCTCTCTCTTCTTCTCTTCTCTATTGCTTGGTTCTTTTCCCTGCCTAGACATTAGTTTGCTAGAGGGATCTTGTGCCATCCTGGGATGCTGCATGTGCCACCACACTGGTTGGGAATGGGACTTGGAAGATTTCTGTTTCTGACAAGAGGCAGCCTTTATTTTTACACAGTAGATTTTTTCTAAATGTTTTTAGAGTTTCTCTATAGTCCTAATAAGTATGGTTTTAGAAATTCTCATATAAGTCAATCAGAGAAAGATAATTATCATATGATCTCCCTGATATGAGGAAGTTGAGAGGCAACGTGGGGGGTTTGGGGGCGGTAGGAGAAGAATAAATGAAACAAGATGGGATCGGGAAGGAGACAAACCATAAGAGACTCTTAATCTTACAAAACAAACTGAGGATTGCTGGGGGGAGGTGGGTAGGGAAAGGGTGGTGGGGTTATAGACATTGGGGAAGGTATGTGCTATGAAGTGTATAGACCTGGCGATTCACAGACCTCTACCCCTGGGGCTAATAATACATTATATGTTAATACAAAAATTAAAAAATTATATATAAAAGAGAAATTCTCATATAGAACCCTACAACCTACACCATTATAAGCCAGAGTGGAATTTTGAATGTTCACCATCAAATGACATGAAATGTTAGCAGGTCTTGAAGTTGTTCATATAGAAGTATCATTTTCATGTTATTATGTTTAGGTAACTGAAATTTACTTTTATTCCTTAGAAAAATAGAAATCATGAAATGGGGATTGGAGAAAAAAGATAACTTAAGTATAAAAAATGACATTGTCTCAAAAATGAGTATATCTAGTCATCAGAAATTTGAAAGTGAAAACTTAAATCATAGGTAGCACATGTTTGAATGTGCAAAAAATGTCAATACAGTATACAGTATTCAGAAATAAAATCTGTTCTCTTAGTACCTGTATCTATAAAGAAAACACAGTAAGTGGACATTGAGTAATATTTGGTGAATTTGTGGAATACACACTGATGTTGAAAGTTTCTAAAATTATGAAACACACTTTTCAATGTCTACATTTTCTTTAACGCACTGTGGACTTCACAGAATAACATACATTTTGATGGCAGCAAGTGGAATGGCTTACATAGTGAAGAAAGCAAGTGGGAGAGCAGGGTGGGCATGTGAACCGTGTATGTTTGACAGAGACTAGAAAGAAAAGAGAAAAAGGCAATACTAGTCGGAAAACAAGTAGAAGCAGGAATGAGAGAAAAATAATCTATTAATAGAGATAGGAAGAAGAGAAGAAGAACAGAGAAAAAGAAGAAATGGAAGGGGACAAAGAAGAAGGATGGAAAAGTAAGCAGACAGGACTGGGAAGCCATGCTTTTTTGGCTTTGTAGAAGGGTTTTAACAATTGATTCTGATTTGGGTGACTCACTTACATGCCCTGGGGTTTTACATGGTGTTATATAACTCTTTCAAATGGCCCAGATTGGGAGGGTTATTATGAGAATGACCTTGATATAGCTGCTTGGGTTAGTGAATCTTCCATTATCTGAAAGCAGGAGACTAGAACCTCTATTAGTCAACCCACAAGCATTTATTGAGCACGTACTATCTACTCAAAAACAGCCTTGCTGAGAACAGGAACTTTGTCCCTTTTTCATTGCTGAACTTTATTTTTTACAGTGGGTGGGTACTCAATAAATCAAAAACATTGATCTTATACATGATCACAGAGGATTGCTTCAGTATCCATAAATTCAGCATCATGATTTTAAATGCTGGGGTTAAAAGCTACTAAGCAGACATTTTCAAAAGTTTTCTGGCACCAGTGACAGAAGCAGCAATATATGGGATAGAATGGGACCTAGTCAAAGAGATCTTTTTTCTTTTGCAAATAATAAAATACAACAGGACTCATTTGGAAATGTTAAGTGTGGGTGCCCAGAATTTAAATTTATCTTCTCTTATTAACATTCATTTTGTAGATACTTACATAAAGCACCTTAAATTATTCTTAAGTTCTTCTTTTGAAACACGATCAGGCTTTCAGAGACACATCAATTAAAAAAAATCATTCTTGTTGAAAAAATGCAGAGAGCAAATCAAAATTACTGGAGAATGAAGTACAGATTGAGGTCGTGTGTGGGGGTAAGAGGGCAGAAGACAAGTCTTAACTTGCCTCTCCTGATGGGTTTCACAGCATCATTTTCAAACCTCCCATTCATTCTTTTCTAAGTAAGTACAGACGGTGGCATTTGGCATTGGGAAACTTATTTTAGAAATAAATATGCTAAGAGGCCTGCAAACAGAAAGTTCTGAGGTTATGTGTTAAATTTCACAGGCATCCAAAAAGGAATTTTAGGTATTCAGACATACCTATCAATAGGTAAGATTTTAGCATTAATAGGAGAATGGAAAAGTAGTTTGAAAGTGGGGCTTTAATGCTGAATACACAAAAATTATGTGTGTACAAGGAAAACAATTAGGGGTGAGAAAAACTATAGAATATCACCGGGTGATAGAATTAAGAATTACTAAAATTTCCCTTTTGCATTCTTTTGTTTTTTGGATATAGAAATTTTTTATAATGAACATGTATTACTTTAACAACCAAGAAAACACATGTAAAAATAAACTCATAGCACCAGATTATCCATTTTTATAAAATGAATCATGGATTTCCACTCACGTTTAAACTTCTTTAGGCCCTCCATTATTGAATCCACTGTAACCTTCCCATTTCCTGTAAAACATTTGAATCAGACACAGAGGAAGTCACATAAAAACTCATAAAAACTGAGTAATATTCCATTGTATATATACCACATCTTTTTTTTTTTAAAGATTTTATTTATTTATTTGACAGACACAGATCACAAGTAGGCAGAGAGGCAGGCAGAGAAAGAGGAAGAAGCAGGCTCCCTGCTGAGCAGAGAGCCTGATGCGGGGCTTGATCCCAGGACCCTGGGCCGAAGGCAGAGGCTTTAACCCACTGAACCACCCAGGCGCCCCAATATATACCACATCTTCTTTATCCATTCATCTTTAAACGGACATCTGGGCTTTTATTTTGGCTGTTTGGGCATTGCTGCTTTAAACAGTGGGGTTTAGGTGCCCCTTTGGATCACTGTGTTTTCATCCTTTGGGTAAATACCCAGTAGCGCAATTGCTGGGTTGGAGGGTAGTTCTATTTTTAAACTTTTTCAGGAACCTCCATACTGTTTTCCAGGGCAGCTGTACCAGCTTGCATTCCCAATAGCAGTGTAAGAGGGTCCCCCTCTTTGTCCATATCTGACATGGATGGAACTAGATAGAGGGTATTATGCTAATTAAAATAAGTCAGTCAGAGAAAGACAATTATCATATGATTTCACCATGTGTGGAATTTAAGAAACAAGACAGAGAATCACAGGGGAAAGGAGGGAAAAGTGAAATAAGATGTTTCAGAGAGGAAGACAAACCATTTAAGAGACTTAACTCTAGAAAACAAACAGGGTTACTGGAGGGGCGGTGGGTGGTGGGATGGGGTAACTGGGTGATGGGCATTAAGAAGGACATGTGATGTAATGAGCACTGGGTGTTGTATGGGCTGATGAATCACTAAACTCTACCTCTGAAACTAATAATATACTATATGTCAATTAATTGAATTTAAATAAAAAACTCATAAAACTGATAAAAGTTGTGAAATTATTAAAATGACATGGCAGACTGGAACTTCTCCTATGAGTTAGAACTACTAGAGAAACTGGTTTGCTTGGAAATTGCATTTGTTTTTCCCTCAGGCAAGTATGATGGAAGAAAGGATAAATCTTTAGTGAGACAAATCTCTCTACTTCTTCAATACAGTTCCTCTTTTCTATGTTTCAAAGTATGAAACTCCAAAGATTACCTGTAGAGAAGGGATATTACAAGAAGAACCAAGGCTCAAATCTGATATCATCTTTTCCGAACTCAGACAGATGACATTAAAAAAATAGATACGAAGTGACCGTATTGGCAAATTGCTCAGAGTTGGAATAGGTAGAGAAGGACCTGCTCTGTGTTTCCTTCTACCAAGGATTTCTTGAGAACCAACATATTTGGGGTGGTAAACTTGTCACTCTTGAGGGTACAGAGTATGTTTCTCCAGCTGGAATGATCTTCCCATACTTGTTCAGCGTAGGGTCTTCTCCAGAAAACCTCAGTCTTGGCTAAATGCTCCCTTAGCACCTTCTGCATACACATAGCACCTTTTTTAAGATGATGGAAATGTACTAGAATGACTGTGGTGATAGTTGCTTGTATCTGTCAGTACTAAAAACCATCCAATTACATACTTAAATGGACAATTGTTTGGTATGTGACCTCTACCTCAATAGGGCTGTTAAAAATGTTGATTGAAAAAAAAAAGAAATAGAATGAGTTTTATAGCACAATACCATTTAAGGAAATTAAATACCACACACATTGCATTTTAATTTTTTTAATTTTTAAATTTTATGTATTTATTGATTTATTTATTGATTTATTTAAAGATTTTATTTATTTACTTGACAGACAGAGATCACAAGGCAGAGAGGCAGGCAGAGAGAGAAGGGGAAGCAGGCTCCCTGCTGAGCAGAGAGCCAGATGTGGGGCTTGATCCCAGGACCTTGGGAGCTGAAGGCAGAGGCTTTAACCCACTGAGCCACACAGGTACCCTCACATTACATTTTTAAAGGGATAAACACATCTAAAATACACATATCTAAAATACATTAGCTATAATAGAGAATGTACCTATGATGGGGGAAGGAAATAGGAATGGAAGTAGGAGGTCAAGGGGAAAATAATAAAATAAAACACAAACTGTCCTTGCACGGACCAATGATGATAGTGTGCCATAACTGAGGAGTTTGATTAGCTCAGCTATATGCATTTGCTGTTTAAGGAGAAGTCCACTCTCTCCCCACAAGAAGAGCTTAAGGTGCTGGTGGGACAAAAAGGAAGAAATATCCAGTAGACAGCTGGAAAAAGTGGTGACAAAGAATAATCCAGAGAACAAAAGTTTTCAAACATTTTGGTCTCAGGACTTTTTTATATTCTTAAAAAATTTTGAGGACCTCCAAGAGGTTTATGTGAGTTATAGCTATTATGTGGGTTATAATCACCACATTAGATACCAAAACTGAGAAATTTTAAAAACGTTTTAAAATAGGGATGCCTGGGTGACTCAGTCATTAAGTGTCTGTCTTCGGCTCAGGCTGTGATCCTAGGGTCCTGGAATCGAGTCCCATGTATGGCTCCCTGCTTAGCAGGGAGCATGCTTCTCCCTCTGCCTGCTCTGCCTGCAGCTCCCCCTGCTTGTACTCTCTCTCTCTCTGACAAATAAATAAATAAATCTTTAAAAAATGTTTTAAAATAGCAATAAATCTAGTAAATTTTTAAATTTTTTAAAATTTTTTATTTTTAAAGATCTTATTTATTTATTTGACAGACAGAAATCACAAGTAGGCAGAGAGGGAGAAGCAGAGAGCCTGATGTGAGGCTCGATCCCAGGACTTTGGGATCATGACCCAAGCTGAAGGCAGAGGCTTTAACCCACTGAGCCACTCAGGCATCCCAGTACATTTAAAAAAAAAAAAAAGATTTTATTTATTTATTTGTCAGAGAGAGAGAGAGCGAGTGAGTGAGCTCTGAGTGGGGAGGGTCAGAAGGAGAAGCAGACTCCATGCTGAGTAAGGAGTCCGACTCGGGACTTGATTCCAGGACCCTGGGATTATGACCTGAGCTGAAGGCAGGTGCTTAGCCGACTGAGCCATCCAGGCATCTCTAAATCTAGTATATGTTAACATATTTTTAAATGAAAAATATATATTAATTGAAAATGAAAAAAATTAAGGCATTAAAATTAGGGGGAATGGTAGTGCTACTGACTGAACATTGGTGTCCCTCCAGATTCATATATTAAAATTCTGTCTCCAATGTGATGGTATTAAGAGGCAGGGTTTTGGAGAGGTGATTAGGACTAGATGAGATCCTGAAGACAGACCCTCATGAATGGGATTACTGACCCTATGGGTGAGGAGAGAGACTGCTGCTCCATGCTCTCTGACATGTGAGGAAACCACCAGAAGGTGACAATCTGTAGCCCAGGAGAGGCTTCTCACCAGAACTCAACCTTGCCGGCACCCTGATATCAGGACTTCTGGCCCCAGAACTGTGAGAAATAAATTTCTGTTGTTTAGAAGCAACCTAGTATATGGTATTCTTGTTATAGCGGCCTAGGCAAAAATAGCATTGTTTTACATTTTTGCAAATCTCTTTAATGTCTGGCTTAATAGAAGACAGCTGGGATCCTCAATCTGTTTCTGCATTTAGTTTGCTGTGATATGTTTTTTCAGTTGAAGAAAATCTGGCCTTATAGAGTTATGTAGTCAGAAAAGAAATATTTTATTATTTTACTTTTTTTTTTTTGAGAGAGAGAGAGAGAGAATACGTCAGGTGGGGGGAGGGGTAGAGGGAGAGAGAGAATCTCAAGCAGGCTCCACGTCCAGTGTGAGCCTGACAAGGGGCTCAATTCATGAGCCTGAGATCGTGACCTGAGCCGAAATCAAGAGTCTGATGCTCAACTGTCTGAGTCACCTATAGTCACCCAGAAAAGAAATATTTTAATAGGTTTTTCAGATATATCATGTGTGAATATATCATGTAACTTATTAGAAAAGTTACTGTACACTTGTGAGTGAATGAGAATGATAAAGGCAAATATTGTTTTAGTGTTATTTTAAAAATAGTTTTAATCTCATGGTAATTTGAGAACTGCTGCCATAGAGAGCTGATAATGAAGCAACAATCAAGGAGTGATATCATCAAAAGACGGAAGGAATTAAAACTGAGAAGACTGAGAAACAAACCCTCAATTGTTCCTATGTTCGGAAGATAGAATAAGTGAGGCTGGCAAAGGAAATTATTCGTGATTTTGGATTCTAAGGGCTATTTCTGTAGCCTCACAGGCTATGTGAGTGGGGAAGCCAACTGCAAGGATTCAAAGAGAATGTGAAATAAGGAAGCAGAAGTGGCTCCCGTAGACAATTAAGAGGCAGATTGAGAAAGGAATAAGGGATGAATGATCATAATTAGGAGGCAGAAGAACCAGCTGAAGGTTAGTGTGTAAAAGACTGGGGGACCCTGTGCTTCTTCATAGGCAGAGTAGAGAGAAAGAGATGAAACTGAATGTGATGGAAAGGAATTATGGAAGAAATGATTTTTTTTGTAAAAATATTGAACCATTATGTTGTCATTATGTCGTATACCTGAAATAAAATATAAGGCTATATGTCAATTATATCTCAATTTAAAAAATAATTTTTGACAAAGTGGGAGATGATCAAGTCAAGAGCAATGGATTTGGAGGTGCTGAAAGGAGCCTTTTCTCCACTGGAGAGTGGAGAGGAAGAAAGTCTAGGTGAACAAGAAGAAATGGTAAACTGGAGAGAACAGAAAGTAATGTTTGCCATGAATAGGTTCAAACTGATTGCTTTAAAACTGGGATTTGAGAAACATATTGTTGGTTCAGTGTTTTACTTCCTATTTTCAGTTAGACTTAGCAGAGAAAACCAAGCCTGCACTCCCTGCTTCACTCTTATATTCCTTGCATCTAGTATAGTGCCTGCACATATTCAATGATTAATAAATATTTGTTGGTTGAATCAATCAATATACAATCTTATACATTCAAGGTCAGAATTCAAGCAACATCACTGAAGCATTATGGTAAGAAATGTTACTCCCCAAATGCTCCCAGATCACTTTTTTTTTTTTAAGAAATCAGAACAACAAAGAAAGTAGTAGAAATAAAAGAAGACTAAAGTAGCTATAGAACAAAACAGTCTGCAGATAAGTCATGTAGCCAGATTCCATAAACGATAATAAAAATCTCAATAAGCAAACAAAAGAACAAGCATAAATGAAATCAGTTAACCCTTAACTACCCTGCTTCCTCTTGTGTACCTCTCCCTAATACTCATTTTTATTTTTAAATTTCAATTACCCTAATATTTTTTATTCTTATTTTTGGGCTGGAATCTCACCCTTAAGCACAAATTAAATATTGCTTGTACTTGTGACTTAAGAAATGAAAGGCCAGGTACAATTGTAAACTATCATTTCTACATCTTTGAAGACCTTCATGGGCAAGTGTCCATACAGAGGTAGCACTGGCATCATTGGGAACTCGTTAGAAATGCAGAATTTTTCAGGATCCAACCCAGACCCAAATCACGATCTGCATTTTAATAAATGCCCAAGTGACTCATATGCATGTTCAAGTTTGAGAAGCATTGTTGTAGATGATAAAAAGACAAGGATCAGGCACCTGGATGGCTTAGTCAGTTAAGTGTCTGCCTTTGGCTTAGTTCATGATCCTGGAGTCCAGGATTGAGACCTGCATTGGGCTCTCCACTCAGCGGTTAGGATTAGTGGGGAGTCTGCTTCTCCCGTGACCCTCCCCGCTCTCATCTTTTCTCTCTTTGAAATAAATAAATTAAATCTTAAAAAAAAAAGATAAGGATCATTCCTGAGGATCTTATATACAGGATAACAAAGATAGTTCTAGAAAGACAAGAGAATTTTTAAAAACCTCACCATTAACAGTCAAATGAGACATCAGCTCCTTCATGTCTTCTTCTGTGAGCTCGATCCCCTCACTTACTAGAAATTTGTCTAAGTCCTGGATATCAATCACCTCTCCTTAGAAAAATGAAGAAATAAATTTTAGAAACATTATAGAACTATATATAAAGGATGAAAAAATGCCATCTGTACTTATATATATGATTGTCCACATAGGCCCAGAATTAACAGTAGAGTCAGAAAACAGTCCTGTGTCAGGGTGCCTTCTGACACAGTTGGTTAAACATCCAACTCTTGGTTTTGGCTCAAGTCCTGATCTCAGGGTCCTGAGATAGAGCCCTGTGTCAGGCTCTGTGTTCAGTGCAGAGTCTGCACCTGGAGCCTGCTTGAGATTCTCTCTTCCTTTCCCTGCCCACTCACCCAGCTCTCTCTCATACGAATAAATAAATCTTAAAAAAAAAAAAAGAAAGAAAAGATGGGCACCTGGGTGGTTCAGGTGACTAAGCCTTGGCTTTCGGCTCAGGTCATGATCTCAGGGTCCTGGGATTGAGCCCTGCATTGGGCTCTCTGCTGGGCAGGGAGCCTGCTTCCCCCTCTCTCTTTCTGCCTGTCTCTCTGCCTACTTGTGATCTCCCTCTCTGTCAAATAAATCAATAAAATCTAAAAAAAAAAAAAAGAAAAAAAAGAAAAAGAAAAAGAAAAGTCTTGTGTCTTTAATTCCGGTGGCTACAAAAAACAAAGTATACCATGGGTTAGGAACTGACTGGGATTTATTATAAAATCCATAGCAAATTAAGCTGCATACAGGGATTTGGTTTTATTTTTATTCTTCCTCCTACCCTACTTGAAAAATTCAGGGTTTTCTACAGAGCAGATTTTTTTTTTAAAGATTTTATTTATTTGACAGACAGAGATTACAAATAGACAGAAAGGCAGGGAAGACAGACAGACAGATAGACAGAGAGAGAGAAAGGGAAGCAGACTCCCTGCTGAGCAGAGAACCCGATGCAGGGCTCCATCCCAGGACCCTGGGATCATGACCTCAGCCAAAGACAAAGGCCTTAACCCACTGAGCCACCCAGGCGCCCCTCTATAGACCAGGTTTTAAAATTTTATTTTCATTTAAAAATATTTGTTTGGAGTTTGCTTCTCTGATCATTATGCATTCAAGATTTTTATTCATCTCAACACAGAAGTAATTTTCTCTCATTCATCATAAAACAATACAACATTAAAGATTAATAAAGGGGGAAAAATACAATTCTACTACTCTACCACAAAAACCATTGCAATTTTTTATATTCCATTTCTGGTCTTTGACAATAAGGCTGTACTTTCATTGTGTGGAAATCTAATATATACACAATTCTGTATTTTGCTTTTCCAAACCTGATATTACGTCATTAACATATTTCCAAAGCGCCACATAATCTTTATAGTTGACATTTCAACACATGATACTCCACTAGCCTAACAGGCTGTGGAGTATATACTAATTCCTGTACTGTTAGATAACTAGGCTGTTCCAAGTTTCTCTGAAGGGTTTTAAGCAGAGGTTTTTTTCCTTTTTATTCAGCTTAACTATTTCCAGAGGATAAATTCCTGGGAGTGAGGTTCGTGCGGGAAAAGGAATAGTTCTTTGACCCCTAATACCTAGCCCTATGTTGAAAAACTCTTTTGGGGAAAGTTTCAGAGAATGTCATGGGCACTGATATATTAACACACATTAATTACTGTTTACCCAAGTTCAGAAGCACCCATAAAAATGGAACACATATGAAAGAATTTAAATATATATGAAGGGGAAATATTTTTCTCCACCAAAATATTGTATTTGCAATATAGTATTGCAAAATATTAAGATGTTATTTATAGTAAAATTTCATCATAGCTTGCAACTTACCCCTGAACCCACTGATAGCATCCATCACATCATTCAGACCAACTGTTCTATCACCTGTAAGGCAAGGGAAATAAACTTCAGAATCAGATAAACTGATGTTACTGAGACCCTGACACTATGAAGACCAGAAGTATTCAGCAGTTTCTCCCCAAACTTTTCTTAGAATGTTACAGACTTCTCAGAGATAATAGTGCTATCTTAGAAATGAAGAAAGTTTTCAATATGTAACAAATCATTCTTATATCTCCCTTTTTTAAGTGATTTGTTACAGTTAAGTATAGGGAGACAGGACAAATGAACCTGACCCTGAGTATTTTTATAATGTAGTCAATCAACAAATATTTAGGGGGTAGTTTTTATGTGCCAGGCACTTTGCTAGGCTTTGGGGATACAAAAGTAAACCAGCTGCCAGAGTTCTTGCTGTCAAGGAGTGTGAATCTAGCAGAAGGATACAGACAGCATGTAAACAAAACAAAAAGGATCATTTGAGGTACTATTATTAAGATGTTATCAAAATAAAATAGGGTTACATAATAAAGAGCAATGGTAGGATGCATTAGACAGGGAAATCAGGGAAGACCTCTCTGAGGAGAGTCTATTTGGGTTGAGGCCTGAATAATGAGAGGAGGATGGTCATGGAAAGAACCAGGAGAGGAAAAAATAGTACGTGTGGCAGCCCTAAGATGGGGATGAAACTGAGCTATTTACCTGGGCTGTCTAAGCTTCCTCACCCAGTATCAGTTGCTGCTTTTTGTTGTAACTGAGGGGCAGAGAAAAGGCTGGGGCGACAGGGTCCAAATCATGAAGGTAACTGTTGGCCCTGATGATAAAGTTGGGGTTTTATTATGTTGCAGTAGAATGTCATTGGAGGCTGTGAAGAAGGGGAGTAATTTAACCTGACGTCAGCTTTCAGAAGCTCACCCTGGCTGATGTGTGCAGGATGGGGAAACCGGAGGAATGGGGACGAGACAGGAGATGGTTTCAGTGGCCCAGGAAAGAGATGCTGTTCTCTTGGGCTATGGCTGCAGCAGTGGGGAGGCAGATGAATGGATTTAGGACATATGTTTCAGGTAGAGTCGAGATTTAAATGTGGGATATAAGGGAAAGGAGGAATCAAGGAAGAAAACTATTCATTTCCCCTCACCCGCTGCCTTCTCACACAGCAGAGTAGATGGGATGCCATGACTGAGAGGGGGATGGCTTAATCCTTTTGAGGGGGATTAATTACTAATCCATTAAATTCGTGATGCCTTTTGGATATCCACGTGGAGATATTAAATAGCTAGTTTGAGATACCATTCCTGACTTAGGGAGGTTGAGTGGGAGACAGAAATTTGCTCTGGTCAGCTTCAAGAAGGTATCTGACCCGGTGAGGCTGGAGGCAGTCTCCTAGGAAGAGGACTGAAAAAGAGTGGAATGGGAGTGAGGAAGTGGAGACAGAAAGGAGCCGTAAGTTTGGGATTTCTTTTTTTGAACCACAGCTGACACACAATGTTGCATTAGCTTCAGGCGAACAGCATGGAGATTTGACAACTTTGCACATTACGGTGCGTTCACCGCAAGGGTGGCCACGACCAGTCACCACACAACTTGAAGCAATGACAACGTTCTGAGAGGTTCTGCTGTGAAGAGAGCTAAGAGGTGGAGTGGTAGCAGCAGGGGACCAGGGGAAGACGAAAGCATGATCTCCAGGGCAGTGGCATCTACGGAGAGAGAGAGCAGAGAGGGAGAACCCGAGGACGCTGGAGAGAAGGGGAAACTGCAGCAGTCCAGTCTTGGAGGAGGCAAGGGGAAATGAGATCCGGGGCACCAGTGGCAGGGCCCGCCCACCACATGGGCAGAGATGGCCAATAGGCGGCGGGGAGCTAGAGCTGGAGTTCTGCCCTCCGCTGGGCTCTAGCACCTGCTCGGTGACTCAAGTTCATCACATTCAGTTGTGGGATGGAATAATGTCCCTGCAATCTGGATGGTGAGTTGGTCCACACACCTGTTTTCTAAGTGGAAGAATTAAAATTATGAATGTCAGAAGGAAAAGAAAAAATTCTGGGTTGGTTATGGCAGGGGCCTTTTCAGTTCTATTTTAGTAAAATTATAAAAAATACCTGCCTGTAATATAGGAAGGGGAACCAGGTTCCATGGCTCAGGGTTCTGCTTCCATCTACGTGATTTCAGAGCTGCAAGCCAGCTTTTCAACTCTTTCCTTGTGGGTGTGTATGTACACTTTTTAAAAAATAATCTCCAGCTACTCTGAGCTATCTGCCTGTGACATCTAAGCTTCTTCACACAGTATCAGTTGCTGCTTTTGTTCTGGTCACAAGATGGCACATATTTTGAATGGGCTCCTCCAATTTTCCCCATAAGCGCACTTTAGTGGGCAATTTTAACTTTCTAGAAAGGGAGGTTTTCCAGGCATTCCTGTATTGTGTTATGTCAGGAATATCTGCAAGTAAGTAAACTGGAATGATAAAGGTCAGAGAGTGTGTAGATGAAACAGAGATTTTGGGGGTGATAAAGTATTAGTATTAGTAAAGTATTAGGTGAGCAATTAAAGAGATGGGAGTAAAAGATGATTAAAATTAGAGAGGTCAAGGAATAGGAGGCCAGTGTGTTGCATGGGTGACTTATATCAGGAATTAATTGGGATTTAATCAGGATTTCTTAACCTGGGGTCTATGGACTCTCTAATGATAGAATTCAGGGAGTCCTTGAGCTTGAATGGGAAAAAAATACAGCTGACCCTTGAATGACATGGGTTTGAACTGTGGGGGAACAATATTATGTGGGCTTTTTTGATAAATACAGTACAGTTCTGTAAAAGTATTTTTTCTTCCTTCTTTTTTTTTAGCTTACTTTATTGTAAGAATATAGTATATAATACATACAACATATAAAATACGTGTTGATTGACTTACATTACTGGTAAGGCTTTTGGTCAATAGTAGGCTATTAGTAGTTAAGTTTTGGAGGAGTCAAAAGTTATATGCAGGATGGCTCAGTCAGTTAAGTGTCTGCCTTCAGCTCAGGTCATGGCCCCAGGGTCCTGGGATAGAATCCTACATCGGGCTCCTTGCTCAGCAGGAGGCCTGCTTATCCCTCTCTCTCTGCCCTTCACCCTGCTTGTGTTCATGTGTGCTCTCTCTCAAAGAAATAAATAGGTAAGAATATAATGAGCATATGGGCGCCTGGGTGGCTCAGTTGTTAAGCAGCTGCTTTCAGCTCAGGTCATGATCCCAGGGTCCTGGGATTGAGCCCCATGTCAGGCTCCCTGCTTGGTGGGAAGCCTGCTTCTCCCTCTGCCACTCCCCCTGCTTATGTGCTCTGTCTCTCTCTTGCTGTGTCTCTCTTTGTCAAATAAATAAATAAATAAAATCTTTAAAAAAAAGAATATAATGAACATAGATAAGAGCATAATGATGCCTTAACACTTACCATCAGTTGGTACTTGGGTCATTATTTCCTCAAGGTCATCCTCCTTGAGTTTAATTCCCATGTTTTCCAAGACGGATTTCACTTTTCTGAATTTGACCCTTGGTCCTTAAGAAAGAGGGGCATGAAATAATTTCATGAATATTGGTGCTTAAGACTGAAGAATGCTAATCATGGTCATGCATCATAAATCCCAACTGGAGGGTAAACCACAGGGCATAAAGAAACTATTAATACATATATATCTCCCAGATTTAGGTAGGTCTGTCGAAAATAGGAAAAAATTGAGAAAGATAACCTTTGAGAAAAAGGTAAATAGTAAACAGTATTTACCTTTATGGGGAGGGATGAGATTGGTGAGAGGTAGAGGGACTCTCATTTTTAAAAAAATTCATATATAATTGACATATAAACATTTTCATATGTATAATATATGTACAGTTTCATATGTACAACATAATGATTTAGTATTTGTATATATTACAGTGTGATCATCACAGTAATTCTTGTTAACATCCATCACCATACAAAGTTACAGGTTTTTTTTCTGGTGGTGAGAACTTTTAAAATCTGTTCTCTTAGCAACTTTCAAATATACAACATGATATTACTATCTATAGTCACCAAGCTGTACATTAGATCCCCATGACCTGACTTACACTTCTTTTATCTGTTTTCCAACTGGTAGAACTGGATAGTTTTTCTTGTAGTATTTGGTGCTTTAACAATATATTTCTAATTAAAAATTAAAAATAAAATTGTTTATAGCAGAATTAGTATAAGGAGTAGAGATAGGATATTTTCCTTAATACCCACCCAGGGGAATTTCAGTTTTTTTTTTTAAAGATTTTATTTATTTATTTGAGAGAGAGGGAGTGAGAGAGAGCATGAGAGGGGAGAAGGTCAGAGGGAGAAGCAGACTCTCTCCAGAGCTGGGCGCCTGATGTGGGACTTGATCCTGGGACTCCAGGATCATGACCTGAGCCGAAGGCAGTGGCTTAACCAACTGAGCCACCCAGGCACACTTTTTTCTTTTTTAAAAGATTTATTTATTTGACAGAGAGAGAGCACAGCAAGGGGAGCAGCAGGCAGAGGGAGGAGGAGAAGGAGGTCCCTGCTGAGCAGGGAGGTCTATGCAGGGCTCAATCCCAGGACCCTGGGATCATGACCTGAGCTGAAGGCAAATACTCAATTGAGCCAATCAGGCGCTCTTCAGTTTTCCATGAGAGGTGAACAGGGAGGAACTGGCATGTCTACTTACAGTTGAAACAACAACCAGTCTGTACAATTCTACCCAGAAAACAGTGTTAGAACTTCCTACAGTAAGTTGATACTTCTCCTTATATCCCCAAATGTCAATGTACCCAAAGAAAAATGGCAAGTTGTAAGTCCATAACAATGGATCCAAAAATTGGCAAGAAGCAGGGGTGCTTGGGTGGCTCAGCTGGTTAAGCACTGGACTCCTGATTTTGGCTCAGGTCATGATTTTGGGGTCGTGAGATCGAGTCCTCCATCAGGCTCTGTGGTCAGTGGAGTCTGCTTGAGATTCTCTTTCTCTTTCTCTCTTCCCCTCCTCCCACTTGTACAGACAAGCTCTCTCATCAAATAAATAAAATCTTAAAAAAAAAAAAAACGGCAAGAAGCAAAGTTGGAATGTTTAATAGCAAATGGTAAACATGAGGATTTTATTTTTATTTGCTCTTTCACTATGTTTCTCACTCACCATTGAGGGCCTTCACGCCTTTTAGCAACCTGTTTTTATATATTTTTCCATCAGCTGTAAGACAAGACACAATTAAGAACAGAGGTTAAATGAAGGGAAGATTAACAAAGACAGCACAAAGACAATACAACATCTATAATTTCAGGGGGGAAAAAAACCCTTCAGATTTCTTCAGGATTTTATTTATTTTGCCCTCAAATAAGAATGAAATCAAAGATAAAGGTTTCACTGATATAAATCTACTTGTGGTTGAATTTAAAAGTCTTTATCTCCTTATTTCTCCCCCTTTCCTTCCTACTCTTACTCCCCTGGTTTTCCTCTTTCCCTTGGTCATGACTTAGGGGAGGCGATGCTCCCAGGGGGATGGGATAATTTAGTCTTGATGGTGGGGACCTGTGAAAGATGTTGCCAGTTTCCAATATTAAAATGTAAGTGACAAGAACAGGATTTCTTCTTTTTTGTGAAACTGTGCTTTCTAAATGTGTTTTACTGGACATACACATAATTTCAGCAGTTTTCACACACAAGCCCATAAATCTGGGTTTCAAAGATGTGCTAAATACTCACCATGAATGGGCAGAGTTTTCATCAGCTGCTTCTTTTCCTCATCAGTGAGTACCAGTCCCATTTTCCTCACCACATTGCTCAGATTATTGATATTAACTTTCTCTCCTTTGGAAATATGGAAGTTGTTAACATATAAGAATTTTAGGAATGGATGAAGGATTTCAAATGATGAAAAAGATGACCTATGGGCTATAGGCTTAATTAGAAGAGCAAACTGACAATGAAACTTGTTAACTTATATAGATTCTGAGTACATGCATGTGTATAGATCATGTCAAAAATAAAATTTATACTTTTAATACAAGCAAAAAGAAAAGCACATATAATCCTAGGTATAAGTCAAACGCCAATATATAGCCTGAATTATGGGGTCTTTTGACACAGTGATCATATTTCCTGGATGGCCTACAAAAGCTTCACCTTGGGATTGAACAGAGTTCCTCTATAGTTTTGTTGTTTAAACAATGGTGAAGTAGAAAATATTATTGGCCCAAACTCCCCAAAATATAGGTCTATACAGGAAAAATACCAAAGCAAACTGTAAGGTTATAAAACAAACATTTAATCATTAAATTTGTAGGGGTTCATCTTAACATGTCAGTAATAGTCTGAAGAGAAAACTTCTACTTAAAAACATCCTTTTTTTTTTTTAAATAAAGCACTAGGGTCTTAGTTAATAATGAATTCCCTTTTTACCACAACTTACCTGTAAAAGCTTTTGCATCATCCATCACCACATTCAAATCAACCATTTTATTCTCTGTAAGAAAAGACAATTTAGGCACAGAGACCAACCTTAGACTTAGAAAAATGATATGAAAAACTTAAGTTGAGGGGGGTGTCTGGGTGGCTCAGTTGGTTGGGCGTCTGCCTTCAGCTCAGGTCATGATCCCGGGGTCCTGGGATTGAGCCTTGCATCGGCCTACCTGCTCAGTGGGGAGCCAACTTCTCCCTCTCCCTCTGCTGCTCCCCCTGCTTGTGTTCTCTGTCTGTCAAATAAATAAATAAAATCTTAAAAAAAAAAAAAGAAAAATTTAAGTTGTAATACAAAGGGTTCCAACTCAGCAGCTACAGGTGGGGGCAGCAGATGTTTGTTGGTGACAGTGGCCTCCCTTGGCCACACCTGCCAACTTCCTATTAGTTGAGAATAGGAACCCTGAATTAGGGAAGAAGGACAATTTGTTTATTTTGGTTTGGCATGGGCTGACTGTGCTGGAAGATGTGCTGTCTGGCTCTCTTATAAGTTGTTTTTCTTCAAGTTTTTTTTTTTTCCAAAGATTTTGTTTATTTATTTGAGAGAGAGTGAGAGAGAGCATGAGGGGGGAGGGGAGGCAGAGGGAGAAGAAGATTCCCTGCTGAGGAGGGAGCCTGATGTGGGGCTCAATCCCATGACCCTGAGATCATGACCTGAACAGACACTTACCCAACTGAGCCACCTAGGCACCGCTTGCATCAGGTTTTTAATGGGAAACCACTGGCTCTATGTTTGGATCTAAGAGTTCTCTAACTCAGGAACTTTTAGCCTGGGACTCACCCATTAGCAAATTCTTTCTAATGAATTCTACCATCTTTGCCTCTGTGACATTTTTATCCAGCTAAATTGGTCTTATTCAGTCATTGATGAAACCTTATCTTATTAAAAAAAGAAGTGTACAAGAAAGGAAAGGAAGGCAGATATAGGAAAGAAATATGGCAAAATGGTAACATTTGTTAACTCTAGCCAGTGGATACACAAGTGTTTGTCATAGTGTTTGTTTTCTGTTTTGATAGATGTTTGAAATATTTCATAAGTTTTTCAAAGAGATTAAAAAATAGCTTTATTTTCAGAAGACCTCATAGAGAGGCCCTAAGATTTGCCCTGTGGTACACTGGTTATCTGAAAGACTTACCATCAATAGGCAGGTGGTTCAGTAAGTCCTGATAGTCCTCTTTCTTAAGCTGAACCCCCATGTTCTTTACAATGGTGTTCAGGTTCTTGACACTGACTTTTTTCCCTTAGGAAAGAAGAGGATGTAAATAATTCAAGTAAGTCCAGGAAGTGGACGATTCCAGCCTCGAGTGTGCACCCACTGTAAGCACGGTGGAACACTGGCCCTTTGAATGAACCCAGATAGTCAGTGTTGGAGTTGAGAGGAGAAAATGTGCCCTTAACATTGTGCTATAACTTTTAATTGAAATAATCATGGATGAAAAAGAAGAATTAGATAAGTCTGATGAATTGATAAAGATAACCAGAGTAAATGAAATAAAAATCTCAAAGTTGCTGTATATTACTAAGAATAAATTCCTCAAATGTAGTTATACTGAAAGAAGAGTGGTGGGTTATGAGGTGAAGTTCAGTGTCACTAAACCAGTGGAATAATGACACAGCACGATTCTAAGCAGAAATCTAAGAAAGCAAATGCAAAGCATAATAAATTTTAGCTGCTGTTCCCATGATTCTTACCTTTGAGAGGCTTCACACTCTCCAGTAATCTCTTCTTATACACCTTTCCATCTCCTGTGAGAGAGGGTAAAACTCAAGTCAAAAGAAAAAGAATAAGGAACTCTATAATTTTATAAGACATTTTATATAATTCTAGAAATTTATTCTGTCTCACCCTCAAATAATTATAAAAGGAATGCCCACAACGTGGTCAGTCTATTTTCTAATTGAAACACATGGCAGTAACTGATGCAGGCTACATATACACCCACATATGTGTTTCTTTCTTCTTATTTTTCCCTTCTTGAACTGCACTTCAACCCCTCTGTCTTTCTCTTTTTCTTGCCCATGCTCTAGGCCCATAAGGTATTCATATATGTTTAGCCTGAACAGTAGAGTCTATAAAGGGATTTTCTTAAAAATAGCAATCAACTCAAACAGTAGCATAAAACAATATTTAAGTATATTTTGTTCCTTAAACAAACTTTTCATAAATGGAGGGGAAATTCAACAGGGGCAGAGAACATGGGGCATCTGCCAGCCCAATCTATCTCCACAGGTGCTGTCTGTCCCCACCTTCCTGTGGAAGGAGTGTCTACAGTGTTGACAGAAACAGTGCTTGGCATGTGGCTGTAGTTGTCTCCATTATAGTCCATCTGCTTCTTTGTGCATCTCTACCCTGTTCCCCCAGAGCCAATATCCTAAGCATGCTGCAATTCTCAAAACTGGACCCTTGAGAGCGATCTGGGGGAATGCTAGAAATAGGGAGTGGCCACAGCCTTAGGTATATGTGAGGGAAATATGGATGGGCATTGAGCATTTGCTCCCTGCGCTCCTGCTTCTGCCATCAGGAGTATTAGCACCCACCAAGATGTGTAGGCTTGCTCTTGTTCAGGGGACAAGTGGGGACAGGTGCGATAGGGTGAGGGGAAGAACGTTTCCATGGAGGTCCCTGAGAGTGGGCAGGAGGCACAGGTGAAGCACAGGCTGGCCTCTAGGGTCTCTGGGGACAAGCATATGCAGGTTCCCTGGAGATAGAATTTTTGAGAGACAGATTGGTTGGATCACTGACCAATCAGAATCAAATACTGACAGTTTAACATATGGTCCTGGTGGTCCTCTGCTCTCAGGTGTTTATCTTTTAGTTGCTGGATTATGGGGAGATGGGAGGGCTATCAGGGGTAGGACTGAGGATGTGGGGGCACATTCAGGAGGCTACAGAAGAATTTATCTGTGTAGCATTTGAGATATATATCAAAGGGTCCATTGACTGAATGGAAAAGAGAGGAATTTCTCACTTACAAGCTTCTCACTTCCAAACTAAAACACAAGGGACAATAATGGGGTTCTTATGTCTGTACTGCATTTTCCTTAAGGAGTTTCTTAGGGCATTAGACAATTCTCATCCAGAAGCCCACAGAACCACAATTCCCTGAGCACCATGACGGCATGTTAAACACTCACTAGAGACTGGCAGAGTTTTCGACAGCATCAACTGTTCTTTTTCAGTAATCTCAATTCCCATGTTTCTCAGCACATTTTTTAAGTCATTGGCTTCAACTTTTTCTCCTTTGAATAGATGGGAATCATTTCAGGTGACAATATTAAAAAATACAATTATTCTAAACTATGAAAGACATAATCCAGTATAGGATTATTTCTAATCGCAGGATGAAGTTGAAATACATGAGTTGACTTCACTTACACAGAGTTATTGTAAAATTCAGTACCTGAAAATTTTCTTTAGTCAAAATAAAAATATAACACTCCTATCCTGCATATGGGTCAATATAGCATGGAGTATAAATGCCTGATTATTTATGATGGTATAATGAGTATACATAATTGTACTGGTAAGGAATATCTCTGTTACTGCTCCATGACCTGAATTATGAGATGGACTGTTCATAGTGTCCATATTTACTGGTGCAAAAACTTCACATTGAGATCCACTGTGTTCATCACCTGTATTTTGATTCTTTGAACACTAGAGAAATGAACACATGACTGGCCAAAATATTTGAGAGTGCCCACACTTCTAAATCTCTAATGATCTATATTATTGTCAATAAGACAAAATCATCAACAAATAAGTAAAAGAGCAAAGCAAACTTACTAATGATGGCTGAAGGAGGTAAACTACTGCTTTAAAAAAATAATTCTCTACAAGGTGTCAAGATCTCAATTTTATGATTATACAAGTTCTCACTCACCTGTAAAAGCACTAGCAGCTTCCATCAATGTATCCAAATCAACCTTTTCATCTTCTGTAGGAAAATTCAGGATTTAGATTCAGGTGAACATAACTAGACTTGAAAAATTAAATTCTTTTTTTTGAAAATTAAAAAAATTCTTTTAAAGATTTTATTTATTTATTTGTCAGAAAGAGAGAGAGAGAAAGAGAGAGAGCAAGCAAGGGAAGCAGCCAGCAGAGGGCAAAGCAGGCTCCCTGCTGAGCAAGGAGCCGGATGCAGGACTTGATCCCAGGATGCTGGGATCATTACCTGAGCCAAAGGCAGATTCTTAACTGACTGAGCCACCCAAGCACCCCCAATATAGGAGTCATTTTTAAAATAAACTTTTAAAAATATGGCTTTACAAGTTTTTAAAAACATTTTATTTATTTATTTATTTATTTGAGAGAGAGAGAGAGAGAGAGAGAGAATGAGAGAAACAGAGCATGAGAGCGGGGAGGGTCAGAGGAAGAATCAGACCCTGCTGAGCAGGGAGCCTGATGCAGGACTTGATCCTGGGGCTCCAAGATCATGACCTGAGTTGAAGGCAATTGCTTAACTAATTGAGCTACCCAGGCATCCTTAAAAGTTTTTCTTAAAGATTATTTATTTGACAGAGAGAGAGAGAGAGAGAGAGACAGTGACAGCACAAGCAGGGGAAGCAGTAAGCAGAGGGCGAAGAAGCAGACTCCCTGCTGAGCAGGGAGCCTGATGTGAGGCTCAATCCCAGGACCCCAAGATCATGACCTGAACTGAAGGCAGATGCTTAAATGACTGAGCCACCCAGGTGTCCTTTAAAAATTTTTTTAAGTAATCTCTACAACCAACATGGGGCTTAAACTCATAACCCTGAGATAAAGAGTTGCATGCTCTACTGACTGAGCTAGCCAGGTGCCCCTTTATAAAATTCCTAAATAAAATTTGGTGTATGGAATCCCAATAATTTTTCATGCTTTTTTTTCTAAAAATTTTATTATAGTTTCAATCCACAGGAACATATAACAAAAAGGTTTGAGCTTTAAGTATATATCCATTCAATTAGCATAACTTCTTTTTTATTTCATAAGCTATTAAAATTTTTTTAAAAAAGATTTTATTTATTTTGAGACAGAGAGAGAAAGAGAGCATGAATGGGAGTGGAGAAGCCAGCTGCAATCAGCATGAATGTGGGGAAGGGCAAATGGAGAGGCAGAAGCAGACTCCCCACAGAGGGGGGAACCCAATGTGGGACTTGATCCCAGGACCCTGAGATCATGATCTGAGCTGAAGGCAGACATTTAACAGCTAAGCCATCCAGGTGCCCCAGCTATTAAAAATCTTTAGAATGTCATGGTGAATGGAATGTTTTGTTTGTTTGAAGTCAGTTCTATCCTAGAGGTCAATTTTCCTTTTTTCAGACCTGGTTCTCTTGCAGTTAGTAGAAGGCTGAGATGGGTTAGAGCCACAGTTCTCAAAGTGTGGTCCAGGGACCTCTGGTGTCACCCACCCTTTGCCTTTTACACTTTTGACATCTGCACTGGTGGTGCAAAAGCAGGGATGGGTGAAACTGCTGGCATCTCCCATGAATCAAGGCCATGGCAACAAATGTACTACTAGTCATGGTGTTCTCCATTGTACATACTGGGAGTAAAAGAATGTCAGTTTCGCTTAAGAATGTTCTTGATAATGTAGCAAAAGGTATTGATTTTATTGAATCTTAACCATTGAGAACAAACTTTTCAATATTCTGTACAATGAATTGAGCAGTTTGTATAAAGCATGTCAGTTGCTTAAGAAAATACAATGATTTCTTGAGGAAAAGAACCTGTATGATTGTTTGAGTCTCAAGCAAATTAGATGCTTTTTTATGAACACCATTTTTAGTTGGAAAAATGGAGAAAATCTAGAGTTTGGTATTTGGGAAGCATCTTCTTGAAAATGAACAAAGTGAACCTGTTATCTTTTTTTTTTTTTAAAGATCTTATTTATTTATTTGACAGACAGAGATCACAAGTAGGCAGAGAGGCAGGCAGAGAGAGAGGAGGAAGCAGGCTCCTTGCAGAGCAGAGAGCCGGATGCGGGGCTCGATCCCAGGACCCTAGGATCATGACCTGAGCTGAAGGCAGAGGCTTTAACCCACTGAACCACCCAGGCGCCCCAATGAGCCTGTTATCTTAAGAAAAGAATTGACGGTAGATGTTTTAATGGTGTAGTTTAAGCTCTCAAACAAAAAACAAAAATTTAAATTTAGAGAACCTTATATCCACATCATGACTTGAAAGGTTCTCAATACTTAAACACTTTTTTTTATTAGATTGGTGATATGATTAGATGTGAACAAATGTGAGTTTTTATTTATTTATTTATTTATTTTAAAATTTTTAATTTTACTTGACAGACAGAGATCACAAGTAGGCAGAGAGGCAGGCAGAGAGAAAGAGGAGGAAGCAGGCTCCCCACTGAGTAGAGAGCCTGATGTGGGGCTCGATCCCAGGACCCTGGGATCATGACCTGAACTGAAAGCAGAGCCTTTAACCCACTGAGCCACCCAGGCACCCAAATGTGAGTTTTTAAAAAGATTTTTTAAAAAAATTACTTATTTGAGAAAGAAAGTCCAAGATGGCAGAGGAGTAGGAGACCTTAGTTTCATCTGGTCCCAGGAATTCAGCTAGATAGCTATCAAATCATTCTGAACACCTGTGAATGCAACAGAAGATCTAAGAAAATAATAGTCACAACTCTACAAATAGAAAAGCAACCACTTTCTGAAAGGTAGGAGGTGCAGAGAAATGAATCCAGGGCGATATATGGGAAGATGGAATGCAGGGGGGAGGGGGGAGGCAGCCTCTGAAAGCCGGCTACTGGCAAGTAATATAGCAGCAACAGCACACAATCAAAACTTTTAGAAGTCCGCTCCAGTGAGGGACTTCCCAGCCTGAAAGGTGCTGAGGTGGCTAAGTGGGGACAGTGCGCTCTCAGGATCCCTGGGGTTACAGGAAGACCAGAGGCGCCTGAATGTGGCAGAGTTCTCAGGCATTGGAGTGGGGAAGCCAGCTGCAATCAGAAAGCCCAGGAGTAGGCTCTCAGCTCAGGGTTGCCATAAACCTCAAACAGCAGAACAGTCAGGTGGCTGATCTTCCAGCAGGGGTGCAACAAACAACAGAACCATTGAGGACCACCCTCCCCCCCAATTCCTCCATGGGGAATAGCGGCATGGGAGCACATCATAGGAGTCTGCAGGGTTGGGAGACTGGAAACAGTGTTGTGTGCCTGAGATGGAAAGGCTTGTCACAGGCTGGGTGAACATGGACTGTGGTGGGAGACCAGGGAGACAGGAGTGACTGACTGCTTTTCTCTGAGGGCACACTGAGGAATGGGGCCCTGAGCTTTCACCTCCAGGACTGACCGGAGATTGGGAGGCCACCATTTTCATTCTAATTCTCTAAAGCTGCACAGAAAACCTTCAGGGAACAAAAGCCACATAGAGTAAGTGGGAGCAGATTATTTAGTCTGGCCCCCTGGCAAGGGTGATACAATTCCACCTGGGGCAAAGACACTTGAGTGTCCCAACAACAGGCCCCTCCCCTAGCAGATCAGCAAAAACATCTAGCCAAGACGAAGTTGAGTGACAACTGCAAAACTCCAGCTCTAGGGGAATAGAGCACATAGAATTCATGTGCTTTGAAAAAGCCACATAGAAATTATGGCTTTTCCCCCATGATTCTTTAGTCTTAAAAAAAATTTTTTTAAATATTTTTATTTGTTTATTTGACAGAGATCACAAGCAGGCAGAGAGGCAGGTAGAGAGAGGAGGAGGAGGAAGCAGGTTCCCCGCTGAGCAGAGCGCCTGACGTGGCACTCAATCCCAGGACCCTGAGATCATGACTCGAGCTGAAGGCAGAGGCTTTTACCCACTGAGCCACCCAGGCTCCCCTAGTCTTTAAATTTTAATTAATTTTTTTTCCTCTTCCCTTTTTCAGTCAATTTCTTATTTTGTCCATTCTTTTTAAATTTTCATTTTTAGAGTTATATTCTATCCCTTCATTGTATTTAATTTTATTTTTGCATAAGTTTTTCTTTCTTTACACTTTTGGGATGCAGTTTCTTCTAACAGACCAAAATACATCCAAACTCTAGTGTATGGCTTTGTTTGCCTGTCTGATCATATTCTCTCTTTTTTCCCCCTTATTTCTCTTTTTTTTGTTTTGTTATACTCTTTTTAAATTTTTATCTTTACAGCTCCATTCTAACTTCTCAATGTATTTAATTTTATTTTTGTATATATATGTTTTTCTTTCTTTACAATTTTGAGATGTAGTTTCTTCTAACAAACTGACCAAAATACACTCAGATATAGTATATTTTTCTGTTCTGTTCACCTGTATGTTTATATCCCTTTTTTTGTTGTTGTTGTTGTTGTTTCCTCTTTTTTTTTTTTAAATTTTCACTTTTATAGCTATATTCTGTCCTTCCATTATATTTAATTTTATTTTTGTACATATATATGTTTTTCTCTCTTTATAATTTTGGGATCCAGTTTTCTAACAAACAGACCAAAATACAACATAGGATCCAGTGTATTGCTCCATTCTGTTCACTTGTCTGATTATATTCTCTCTCATTCTCTATTTTTAAAACTTTCTTTTTTTGGTTTTGGGTCTCTTCAGATTTGTTTAGTGTATATTTCTCTGGGGTTACTGTTGTCATTTGAGTACTTTGTTCTCTTGTTCACCTATTCTTCTCTGGACAGATTGACAAGATGGAAAAACTCACCTCAAAAAAAGAACAAGAGGCAGTACTGACTGCCAGGACCCTAATCAGTGTGGATATAAGTACGATGTAGGACTAGAGTTCAAAATAATGATGATTATTATTATTTTTAAAGATTTTATTTATATATTTGTCAGAGAGAGTGAGCGAGCAAGAGTGCATGAGGGGGAATGTCAGGCAGAGGAAGAAGCAGGTTTCCCAGTGAGGAGGAAGCCCGATGTGGGACTCATTTTAGGACCCTGGTATCATGACCTGAGCTGAAGGCAGATGCTTAACTAACCGAG